ACCCACATGTGTAAATACACCTGATTACCTTGTTGGTTATTTGTTGGTTGTAGCAGCACATGGTGATGTTAGATGTCTGTTTTTACAGTGATGAATCTGTTTGTCCTGCTGGCTGCACAAACTGCTCAGAACCATGGTGAGTCATAAAACGCTTATCTTTAATTATTTTACTAACTAAAGTCCTGATAAAAGTATTTAAAAGGAATTTCATATTTTAATTCCAGCAACACAAATTTAGTGAGAAACAACAAAAACACTTTTAAAAAGGAATCCATATATTGATCATTCAGTTCTGATTGCCCTGAAAATAGTTTAAAAATGTTTTAAAAAGAGATCAGTGTATAACATAGGTCAGTTAATTGGTATCGTGTTAAATTATTTAAGTTGTATTGTCTAGTTTTAAGTATGTTCACTGTTGTTCTCCTGTACGACCTTTGTTGTTCATGTAAGTCATTTTTATTGTTTCATTGATGTAACTGATTTCATCATTTTAATGTTGAAGTTGATGGGAGTTTGACATCTGACCAAACAAATGCTGCTAAATTATGTTTTGTTTTACAATTAAATACAATGTAGTTCATAGTTAAATCAACATAAACTGATCCTTATAGCTGCCCAAACACCCGCTGAAATAAATACAAGTTAATTGGTTGTATTTATTATTTCAAAGACTTTTTGTTGTTTTGATTTTCCTTTTTAAAATATATTCTTTATTAAGTATAAGACACATTTATTGACAGATTTTTCTCACTTGCTCTGTTCAGAAGCAACTTTTCCTACAATTGTTCCTGAGAGACTTCAGTTCTTCGAATATGAGTCTGTCTCTGTTGGGTGTGAGCTGATCGATGAGATGGAGACGTGGAGAGTGAAACAGAAACTCCATGAAGTTGATCCAGAAGTTTTCACTGAAACATGTAACACATCAGCTCCATCCTGCACAATTAATCCTTTGTTTGAACAACACAGTGGAGAATACTGGTGTGAAAACGATGGAGGAGGAGTGACCAACTCTGTCAACATCTCTGTTACTGGTACGGACACCATTAACTGTACTGTGTGGTAAATCTGAGTTAAAGTACAATCAAACTATCATCTTCATGTTTCTCAGCTGGTTTGGTGATCCTGACCATTCCTGTCCAACCAGTGATGGAAGGATCTGACCTGACTCTCTGGTGTACCAACAAGAAAAGTGATCTGCAACACATCAGTCGTTTCTACAAAGATGGTGTACTTCTAAGCACCAGCTATACAAGCAACTTTATTGTCCAAAATGTCTCCAAGTCTGATGAAGGACGTTATAAGTGCAGAATCTCTGGAGAAGGAGAAACTCCAGAAAGCTGGCTGATTGTTTCCAAACAAGAAAAAGGTAAATAAGAGGTTTTATTTCTTTTTTTCATATTTGGTACTGTAACTGGTAAATTTTTGATGTTGTGATACCTGAGGAAACAACTAACCAGATCAAAATGAACCAGCACAACTGGAGGGAGATGAACCAGTCTTCCCCTTACAAACACTTCTGAAAACACACAGAGGACACCAAGCCTCTGCCAGCCTCATGTTCCATCAACTACCTTGGTGACCTCTGTTGTGGTAATGGACTGATCTTGCTCTGAGTCATCAGACTTTGTCTCAAAGTGTTCCTTCCACCATTTAACATTATCCTCAGTCTGGATCAGCAGCACATCCCAGGACAGGGAACACTTTCCTTTTCTGAATCACCAAATGGTTTTCTAGAATCTCTTTGAGTCTATCCAAAATATATTTTCTATGGCCTCCCTGAATTCCTCCCATGCCCAACCACTGCAACCACTGAAGCTGCAACCTTTCTGGCCACCCTCTACCCATTGGCTACTTCAGGGGTCCTCTGGGAAAGCCAATCTCTGAAGGCCTCTTCTTCAGCCTAATGGTCTCCATCACCCCGGGTGTGCAGCAGACCATCCTTTAGTTGCTTCTGCAATAGGCACCAATGATCTTCAGGCCACAGCTCCTTCAACGAGATTCTGAACATGGCCCATTTGGATTCCATGTCCTGACTTGTGAAAAACTCTCCCAGAGGTGAGAGTTGAAGAGTGCAGGGACAGAAGGATCCACTAGATGTTTCCAGTTTACGCTCACTATACATTTAGGTTTACCAGGGCTGTCTGGCAGCCTCTCTCCCCACAGGATCCAATTCACAACCAGGTGGTGATCAGTTGACAACTGAAGTGTCAACTGGGGAGGCCTTTCTTTTGAACCACCGCCTTCCAGATAACTCTGTCGAAGCCCACATCGCCATTGAAGTCACCCAATAGAACAGAATCGTCAGACAGCACCCCTTCCAGGACCCCATGCAGAGGCTGGGTAATTAAAAATGTTGTTTGGTGCATAAGCACAAACACCAGTCAGAACCTTCAATCATGAAAACACAGAGAGGCAACTCTATCAAATACCAAGGAAAAACCTCCATCAGTGAGGCGTTCTGTTGGGGGGTTTGAGAGTATCTGAAAACTGTCACTGTTTCAGGCTTATCCCAGCTGACCCGCGGAAGCCAAGGCTGGACCACAAGACCCTCGCCGGAGAGCTCCCCCACAGGCTCAACGGCAGGTGGGTGCCCTTATGAAGTTTTTTGCTGAAATAAGTGTTTCATCTATCTTTTTTTGTTTGTTTTTAGGTCATTTCTCTACAACAATCATCCGGCTGTGTGTTACATTAGTGGTTCTGCCGTTGATGGTTATTGGATAGGTTCACTACAGGAAACACAAAGGTAAAGCTAACTTTCTTCTAAGGAATGGATCAATAATTAAAAGTCAAGAAAATATTTTTATTTGATGAAAGGAGAGGGATGTTATTTGGATAACTTGTTTCTATTTGTGTCCAGAAGATAAACAAACTGTTTTATAAATTAATGATTCATTTACAAATTCTTACCTAACCTGTTTATAAAGAGCTAATCTGGTTTTATAAAAAGAACTTTAGCGCAAAGTGGGACTTTATTTACAAACAGAACTAAACTAGATTTATTTGAAGCAATGCATATCACCAACTTGTTGAGTCACACACCAAAGTTTTAAACTAAGAACTTGTCTGATTTGTTGGTGCTTAGAGTAAGAGTTTTGGGTTGACTCTCAGTTACAGCCACACCAAATTTTAGCTCAATGTCTTTTATAGTCATGTCTGTGTGGTTGACTAGCTGTGTCCGTTCAAGGTTGACAACAGTGAAAATAAATATAATTTATTTTAAAACATGAG